CTTTGTCTTCCTCTCAAGCATCCCCATCTTTCTTTGTCCCCCAAAGCTTGCCTCCCTCACCGCCCGCCCTCACCTCTCTCCGTGTGTCAGACCCTGGTTCACCCTCTCGAGGTGGAGCCAGGTCAGTTCTTGTCACAGACTGAGCAAAGCCACGCTCCTCCTGCCGCTCCCCAAACTTCCTCCCACTCGGGACGAGCTCAGATCTCCCTCTCCATCTCGGTCGGGCCTGCCCCCGCTCTTCCCTCAAACATGACGAGATCAGCCCTGACACCTCGTCCTCCCACCCTTGAGGACGGGATGAGGGGCCGTGAAGGATGGCGGAAGCGCAGTGGAGGGAGGGAAAAGTGGAGCGCCACCAAGGAGAGGGTGAGAGGGAGGCTGTCACAGCAGAAAGAGCGGAAGGCAACGAAGATGCTCGCCATCGTGCTTGGTGAGCAGGAAGAAGCTCAGAATAATTGATGAGATGTTCACATTTGGTCCACGTACACCTGCAGACTCTGTGGGCAGCACACAGAGCTGTTCCAGACAAAAGTTCAGGAATATTCATTTAATTTGATAGGAAAGGCTTTTCCAGACTTTGGACTAGGACTTAACCTTTAAAGAAATATACTACATTACACACAAAGTTATAAAAATAATAACCTGTAAAATAGAATAAAAAATATCATTTAACTTGTTATAACAGTAGCCTATTTTGCTTTTTAATTAGACCTCTTTAAATATTTAGAATAAAAATATCTTCAGAGGCAACTTAAAGATCAACTTTACTCATATTTTAATACATTTGCAGTGACCTCTAGTAGGAATGAGTGCCTTGTGAGTCATACTCTGGGGGGAACAGAGCTCCGGTGCACCTGTTTGAGGATGTAGAAGTCAGCAGAGGGAGAGTAGCTACAGTATTTGGACATTTCACCTCTGATTCAGTGGCGGCTCCAGAAATTTTTTTCTACAGGTGCTACGAAGGAGCTAGTCTTTTTATTGAGGGTGCTATGAAGGAAGTGGTCATGCGTACCTATTGTTCTCTAAAACACCTTCAACACTAGCAGATACACATGCGTGCACAAAACCTCAACAACACCTGAAACAATCATTAATATACATCATAAACATATGAACAATCGCTGACTTTTCCATGAAGTCATAAACACATACAGCCACACAAAAACCATCTATAGTGTTGCAAGGTTAGCTAACGTTAGTGTTAGCATTTCCACCGGCAAAACCCTGGACTGCTGCAGCGGCTGAGGGTTGACTCTCTTCATCCAGATCCGTAGGTTTTTGTGGGTCTGAGATCACTTCCAAAGATTCATTCGTTTCTGACTGAACCCATAGAAATTTGGGCAACAAAAACCGATCCATTTTACCACTAGCTCTACCTTTCACTCGGTCACAGGTGGAAAATTAGGTCAAAGGTTAACATCAATGTCCTGTTTTGTTTTATTTTTTACTATCTATATAATAATTTACTGATTATTTTTGTTTTGTATGTTAAATATTATCACATCCACACGTTAAATTAAAATTAAATTGTAAAAATAAAAAATATCAAATATTTACTTGGAGGTGCTATGGGGGTGCAATGACTAATCCAGGGGTAGCTATAGCGCCCCCCTGGCCCCGCCACTGCTCTGATTGGTTAGTAGCAATGTGACTCTACCACTGAATCAGTTTGCTTTGCAACGTTGATGTTTAATCTCCACAAATAACTCAAACCTGGAGGAGTTCTGCTGTGTTGTGGAGTTGCTAATGCTAACAGTTAGCTTCTACTAGCCAACGCGTTCTCTGCGGTTTCCTGGATGCTAAATCAACAACAGCCTCCCTCGTCTCGAGTCAAGATGGGTGAGTCCATGAAAGTTAAGTGACAGTGTGACGTAGATCTGTTAGGAGTTTCTGATCCAAGCGTTTTTTCTGCCTCCTTTCTATCAGATGCTAATGCAGGAAATATGGGGATTAGAATATTTTCACTTTCAACCTGCATCTTAAACTCAGGTTGATCTATATGTTTCAAAAATGACCTTGGATTAGAAAAGCTAGTCATTTGCACGTCACAGTGAATAATTTGCTTTCATTTACTCACCCATCTTGGCTCGCGATGAAGAAGGCTGTTGTTCATTTGGCGTTGTAGAAACAGCAGAGAAAACCCCAACTAGCAGAAGCTAACTGTTAGCCTTAGCAACTCCACAACATTGCAGAACTCCTTCAGGCTTGTGTAATTAGTGGAGATAAAACATCAACGTTGCAAATCAAACTGAGTCTGTGCTAGAGTCATGCTGTTGTTAGCCAATCAGAGGTCCAAATATCACAAAATAAGACTTGACTGAACTCTCATCTGGCTAACTTCTAAATCTTGAAACAGCAGTGCCAGTGCTTTTTTTCTCCACAGAGATTGACTCACGGGGCATTTATTTATACTAGAGACAAATGCAAACATGAACTTGGTCTTTAATATAAATTAAAAAAAGAAGTTGAAAATGTGCAAAAATTATTTACTCCTTTAAGAAAAATGGGTAGTTTTTAAAAATAATTATTGTGTTTTAGATGCATTTTTCACACCACCTTATCCGCCCTCCGTTAAAAGACATATTCTAATGCACTGAAGCAGGCACCAGCCCTTTCTGAGGGATCCATTAATTATTTTTGACTCCTCACTTGATTTGTTTTTGTTTTTCTACAACCTCATGCATTTTATAATTTATGTGACTTATTGCTGACAGGAAACCTGATGAAGTTATCTGGTGCTTCAGCATATTTGTGCTGCTGTGAAAAATCCAAAATGCATAGATTTGCAAGATATTTAACTTTTGTCATTCCCTGCATCATGTGAAGGCAACTATAGCTCAGTGGTCCAGAGGTCTGAGGGTTTGATTCCCAGCTCCTCCATTTCACCCTTCAAGTCTTATACCTTTATTAGTGTGGTAGTGAGAGTGTAAACGTTTATGTGAGATGAAGAATCTGGATTAATCTGACTTCATCCATCTTAAATAGACTTCCGATCATGTGATTGGCTGATTAAATCCATAAACAAGTTGTTTTTACATATTCCGTGTCCTCTCTTTGTTTCCCAGGTGTGTTCATCATCTGCTGGCTGCCGTTCTTTCTGACCCACGTGCTGAAAGCACACTGCAGCAGCTGCTGCATCTCTCCGTCGCTGTACAGCGCCGTCACTTGGCTCGGGTATCTCAACAGTGCCGTCAACCCCGTCATCTACACCACTTTCAACATTGAGTTCCGCAAAGCCTTCATCAAGATCCTCCACTGCTAGGCAGGGCGGAGAAGAGGCGTCAGATGTCAGACAGAAAAATGTTAAAAATTGGTTTGAGGTCTGGGAGGAAAAAGGTAAAAGATAAAAGTAAAGAACTCTGAGAACTGAGTCATGTGTTTGGACGACGATGATGGCTTTTAATACGAGAGAGAAATGGAGCCAGACGACACTAAACAAAAGACAGAAAAAACATGCAGAGGGTGTCAGCATGCACAAAAGAAACGACCAAAAGACCACAAAGTCAGCGTGACGAGCAGAAGATGGCAACAAGAAAATCAAAGCAGGCTGAGACGTTTTTAGAAGGGTAGACATGCTTTGTGTTGTATATAAAAATATTCTGTAAGGGGTGAAAGTGGGAGGAGGTGACTCAGACTCCATATGTCAGATTTACTGCAACAAGACTTTTTCCACATCTCAGTGGTACGATTCATTTGCATCAGACGTCTTGTTATCTGTTTGCATGTGCTCTAAATAAATCATCGTGAAAATAGCTTCAATAAAAGTAGCTTTAATTTGACAGTAAAATGCTTTCTTTCTTTTTAGGACAGCATTAAGCAAGATTTCACTTTACTGGCAACAAAAAGTGGACCAGTGTGTAACTTTTGAACAGTCCCAGCTACAGAACACATTTTAACCCATGTAGAACCCACAAAGACCTTCTAAGATGGCATTTGTGATTCTTTCATGGCTATGCAACACATCTTTATTTGTATAGCACATTTCACATATGTAGGCAATTCAATGTGCTTTCCAGGAGCAAGATTGTTTCTAAATGTATAAGCCTTTAAAGTGATAGTATGTGTTTTTCCTGGCGATAGGAGGCAGTAGATACCCAAATCATTGCAAGCAAGCAGCATTTTTGTGTTGGAGTGAGGCCTTACCAACGGATGCCCATTAGGGTAAAAAAAAAGGTAAAATGGCCTGTATTTGATATAGCGCCTTCTAGAGTCCTGGAACCCCCCAAGGCGCTTTACAACACAACCAGTCATTCACCCATTCACACACACATTCACACACATTCAAGCCCTGGGGAGTGCAAACTTTAACAAAATAGCAAGCACATCAGACTCCCTTTTATCACTGGCAACAAGTGAAGAGGTACATGTGTGAAACAAAAACATTTAAGATTGACGAAGGTTTTGTAAACGTTTGTTACAAATCATTAAAGGCATTTTGTCCTAATGGGCTCCCGTAGGAGGAAACATGGCATCTAATATGGCGTCGCTCAGACACTTAGGGTTTTTCTCAATGCTAAGTAACCTCGCCTTGATTTCTTGGTCCCACCCCAGTTGCCCAGGAGATACGTCATCAGGAACCGCCAAGGCGTGTTCCAATGTTCGTGTTCTACCGAGGTGTGTGTTCTCCGTTTGTTAGCCGTTTAGCTAGCTGAGCAACAATACACGGGAGGTGTCTTGTAGCCTGCTCTTGGTCAAAAATTTCCCAGAATGCACCGCTGTATTTTCAAAAGGATGGCGGATCGGAAGCCGGCAGCTACTTTGGGGAAAATTTTCAAGTTTAAGTGAAAGTCAGGTAATTTTAAATGTTTATTATTTTTTTAATATACAAAGCAGTTAACTATGGTTGGTTAGTTGCTTAGCAGTTGCAGGTTTGGTGGCTAGCGGGTAGTAACTTACTTATATATTTAATTTAACAAACATTTACACAATTTAAAAAGTAAAAGTCTCGTTATATATTTATGTTGAAACAAATATGTGTCAAATATAACGTTATCTCCCGTGTCACATGACGTTACGTGACCGCCGTAGAAGCTGCGGTCACGTGACGCAAGTCTGTTCCATTTAACCATTTTCTTTGACGAAGGAAGGACAGTGTCCTCGTAAGCAAGACGCCTGGCCTCGAAAGACATCGCCTCGCAAGGCCAGGCGCCTTGACATTGAGAAACCCTCTTAGACCCGCTCCCATGAGGTGAAACGCGCTGCTCTTGTGGCTGCATGCACTGAAGTGAGGAGAGTCCCAACCCTACCTCCCCACCTAGTGGACACTTATGTTGTGTAATGTCTGGTCTGTGAACATATCTGTCTGAGGTGTTTTTTTGCATAGCAAAGCTACCCTCTCTGGTGAGGGTAACTCTGAAGTGCCTTTTTTCCCCTCCCCCTGACTCCATCCTCATATATTTTGATTGATTGATTGATTTAATTTATTTAAGTGGGCACCATAAAGGGTGCCCAGCCCACACGGGCTTATTAGACACTACAACATTAAATAAATCATAACATGGCTGCGTGATACAGATTAATACACAACATTGCTAAACAAACACAACTATGACCACGTATATCTCATATGGGGTATAGAATACTTTGGCGTCTGTACCAAGCCTTTTTCACAAATTTAGCTAAAACAAAAATATTATTTTCAAACAACTAATACATAATTTCAGCTTCCTGCTTCCAAAATAAATTGGGATTTTTCGACAGGATAAATTCAAATAAGGATTATCTCAAATCACAATACAAGGAACAATGAAAGATAAAATCGAATTCATTCTCAACCACATTGGAATCACAAAACTCGCATAGACGAGAATCCCAAGGTATTCCTTTAAATCGTCCCACTTCCACTGCCAAAGGGAGGGTGCCCGTTCTTATTTGAGCACAGAGAGATCTTTGTCTTCTTGTTAACATTTGAGATATAATTCTGTATTATAATCCCTTTTAAATTGTACATAATTTCTAAGTTTTGGTTTATTCCAAATATCCTTCTTCCATTGTTCCCTGTATTTTACATCCAACTCCTGTCTGACACCAGTAATGTTTTAAGTTATTTTGAAGAATCATGCCCCTGTCTAAATTTACTAAAATAACTGAAATATCTCTAAACCATGGGTGAAAATTTGTTTCATCTCAGTTAAATATTTTCTTAGTTAACCTTTCCTCCGGAAGACTATCAAGACGGTTCCATAAACGCACCATTTCACAATTCTGTTTAACATACACGGAACCCATCCTGCGTCCCCCTCCACAGCTAACTTTGCTGCAAATTTATGCACACCCAGAAAGCATCTTAATGCTCGGTGTTGAACAGAATTACATTCAAATGTTTCTTTGGAACCCCAAACTCCTGCAGCATAAAATACAACTGGGTCAACTAACGATTCATAAAGTTGTGTAAAAATGGAAAAACCAAGATCTGGGCAAGATTTCATATAAACCCTCTGGATCTATTACGGTAGCGCGACTCAGGTTGCGAATGACCACAGTCACCAATTCTTGTCATGTGTGTATGTATGTATGTCTGATCTCAGAATTGTGTGTACTGAAACTCTAATTTCCCTCTGGGATTAATAAAGTATTATTGAATTGAATTGAATTTATTTAAGACCTGATTTTTATGGTTATATGTTACGAAGCCACCAACATTTTTCAACAACTTGGTATCATTTAATTCATTTTCAGCAACATTTTGATGGACATTTTCAGAAATTAATGGTAAAAATCACACATTGTATCTTTAATAATAACTGCATTTGTTGGTAACTTGAGTTTTAACTGATAAATTTCTTTCAAAATTATAACTTTAATTAAACAATGTGTTCATTTGCCTACAGCGATTATTCTTATTTCCTTCAGTGCTTCTTTTCAAATGAATAATGGATCAAACTTTGTTTCATTTGAGGTTTTTCCTGTTAAGTTTTTATTCAATAGATGTTGTAAATCCTTTAAATGGCACATTTTTATACTATCCTACCACTTATAATCATAAAATCATCATAAAACAGAAAAAGAAAAGAAGAAAAAGACCAAGAAAGGAAAAGAAGATCCCCAATCTAAAAAGGGGAGAAATAGAGGAAAAACTGACAAGAAACATTTGACTTATGGATTTAAGAATAAAAACGAGAAACTTCATTCAGCATGCAACTTGCTGACAGTTACTCTGCTCTCTTCATCGCTCAGCCGCACTTTGTGTCATTGTCTGTACACAGATGAAAACAAATGATGCTATTAAGTTGCAAATGCTGCAACACCTCGGCAGGTGGAGCAGGGGGTAGGCCCTTTATCCCTCCTATGGGGAAAAGAAACTGGCAGCTTTATTTATTCATCAGTGTCCATGTCATGATCCGGTAAAGAGGGGAGAAGATCCCAAACCATAAAAAGTCATTACACAGATTAAACCGAGTAAAGCATTACGGAACAACAAGAGCCAAAACAGCAGCAAAAACCAAAAATTTTCACATTTAAATTTCACTCCCCTCTGTTTTTATCGGGTTTTATTTTGAAGGTTTTGTTCTAATTCGGCCTTGATAAAATGCAGATTCATCGCAGTTTATTGCAAATTGAACTAAAATGATACAAAAAATTTTCAGCTTGAATTGATGGTTGACTTTTTCCCCAAAAAATACAACTAGTTTTATTATTTGGAGTCAGAACACTAATCCTGTCATTTCAGTTCAACAGAACTGATTTAGCCATTTTTGATTACATATCGAAGGTGGCAAATTTTGGTTTTTAATTAAAATTTCTCATTGATTAGACACAGAATCAAGTGTAGTATTAAATGAAGTTTGTAGTGGGTTTTACTTACACTAAAAATGTATTACTTTATTTGTGAAATAATAATTTTGGTAAAGATTCAGATCTCTTTTAGGTGTTTCTTTTAGAATAAACCAAGGCTGTCCAAGGATGCTGAGGGCTCCTATCCAACATGTTTTAGTTGTTTCCTTGCTCCAACACGCCTGATTCAATGGCTGAATGACCTGTTGAGCAGTTCATCTTGCTCTGTAAAAGCCTGACAATCCCCAGCGGGTTAAAATCAGGTGTGTTGAAGCAGAGGAACCTTTAAAATCTGCTGGATTGGGACCCTTGAGGACCAGAGTTGGACACCACTAAAATAAACGAACTAAATGACCTCGTCATGCTGTGGCGTATCTGTTTACTTCTCGTGCCGTCATCCTAAAAGATGCTGAGTAACCCAACAATTATCGGTCCATCACTCTGATGAAGTCACATTAAAAGACAAATGACTAAACTGAAAAAGTCTCAGTGATTAATCAAACCTTCTGTGGGATTATTTAATACCTGCTGTACTTCTTAATGGTGTGAAATCCTGTTCTGTTTTTGTGGATATGTGCTGCTCTTGTGTTCCCAAACAGGAGTGACTCATTGGAGCGGTGTACATTACCCTTTGTTGTTAAACTCTGACCCAGACTCACAATAATCCCCATGCATATTTGATAAAGTCCCAATGACAGCCCAGGGCACATATCTGTTACTGACCAGACCGCTGCAGTTGTGACCAGAGGAAGAAGATCACGAGAAGGAGGCTGGAAGGAGCTATGAGGAGGGCCATGATGAAAGGGTTAGGTGGTTAATGGGGAGGAAGCGTGCAGCTGAGGCGTCAAACTGCTGGAGCATGTGAAGATGGTGGATTCACAGAGACGGAGCGGGTTTGAGGATGAACGTCTGGAAGAAGTTTGATTTTTGTTTCTTGTCTGTAACACAAGCTGGTTTAAAAGGAGACAACTGAGCTTTTGCATGAAAAATGAAGCAGTTGTGTGCAAATTTAAATATCTGAATTCCAGGTGAGAGCCTTCTTCTGAGAAACGGCTGTATTCCTATGATAATCTGATTTTTGTTGTATTTTTCGCTGACTCGGCCTGAAACGGAAAAGACTTTAACATTCTGTTCAGTCCAAGATCATCATCTCTTATTTTCTGTTTTTTTTGCAGGAGTTATTGACCTTTTCTTCTCTATTCTTGCATTCCGCGGCCAAGTGGGAGCATTGACCTTATTCCAAGCTTCTCAATCTCATTACAAGAATGGATTTAGGATTCCAAGGAGCTAGCAGAAGTTCCTCTCATGCACAACTGCTGGAGCAAACATCAAACGGGTCATCTCTTGACCACTGGTCATCAACATTGGAACCAGGCCCACCTAAGCATGAGGTTTGGAGCATATCGTCTTTGGTGCCTTTTACCGTCCTCACACTCATGCCCACCTGTGAACCTGCAGTTTCTGGAAATCCGTCCTCATTTTTCCAGCCCACTTCCAATGCAACAAAAGAGCCTGAAACTCCTGAAGCTTCATCTTTTGGTTCTGAATCCCAAACAGCCCGAGATCTAACGTTTCTGACCTCATCGCTTGGTGTTAATCCTGCAGAAGTTCCACCTTCAGGCCTGGTAGAGGAGAGATCCATAGATCTAATTATACCAAAAGAGCTCAATGAGAAAGAAACAGGTATGGTTACATTTTAGAATGGAGTTTGAGTCCAAACGTTTGCATGAACAAAATCGTCCCAGATCTAAAACGTTCCAAGTTAAACAACTAACTGCTTCCAACTGTGAATTCTAAAAAGATGTCCAAACATGACACCCGCCTGAGATAGAATGAATGTCTTTCAGAAATCTTTATCTGCTGCTTTATTCATTTGTGTTTTAACATGTCAGAAAGGTCAGATTCTCCCACTGTTACTCGACCTTCCCTTACTAGAAAACATTTCATTTAATAAATCAAATCAAATGTCCGGTAGGATAACAGGATAATTCTGACCTTTTAGTTGCACGTATTTTTAAATTTTATCTAATTGCTTGCAAGTCTGCAGAATGTGCAGCTGTTAGCAAAATGCTATATTTTATGTGCAGCCAGCGGTTGCTTTCTGAGCTAACAGTGCTTATTAGAAGCAAAAAGTTGGCTCTAAAACTTTGCTTTTACTAACAACTTTGCTTGTTGGCTAGAACCTTCTGGTGCTAATCTGTAATAAAAAAAAAGGTGATTTTATTTTTTAAATGGCCTGCAGTTACCACATTTGACCACACAATGTCATAATTACTTCTCTTACATGTTGTACCTTTAAATCAACTATGAACCTAACTCTACATAGACTTTTTATGTGATTCTACTTTTAAAATGCAACGGTTGATGTAAAGGGGTCAAAAGCGACCTGCAGTAAATAGTTCATTTAACTGTTTTTCGGTATTTAATCAGATTTTTAAATACTTTTATAAACATCTTTACACTTTGACAGTTCATCCGTAAATTACCTAACAACCTAACCGTGGTGAGCTAAATATCAGATGTTATCCAATTTTCATTTTAAGTCATTAACTCCCTTTTTCCCAGGCCGAACATCCTGTTCCTCTCACTCTTTTGAAGAAACACAACACTGAGGCTTTTCCATTTACTTTCAACACATTACCAGAAAATATCTGAGCCAAAGTATCCCCTCTAGATGACAGAAACCTTGCTGGTACATCAAATGTGTTAAATTTTTTTCCATATTTCAATATCCTATTTTGTTAGTTGCCATCTTCATTATATGCGACCTGTTAGCGCTGTTGCATCATGCTGGTTCATTTATAGGGTTATAGGGATTTTTAAATATAGTTTCTTCTTAGAAAGCAGTTTACTGCTCCTAAAAGGTGATGTCATCGTGTATAAAGGATGCCTCTTAGCTGTAAATCATCTCTTTAAATGAACAAGGAAGGTGTTTATTCTGTTTGAGATTAGATTCATGCCATAACACGCCTTTGAGATTGTGCTGAGATCGCTGTTCACATGTTGTTTTATAACATTTTTTATTGCTGACTTTAAGGTGACCTTTCTCCTTGTTCACACTAGTGATGGGAATTCTGGCACTTTTTAGAGAGCTGGTTCTTTTGGCTCCCAAGTGGCTCCTCAGATGTTCTGTTGCGTAGAGTACATTTATGACCAAAATAATGCAAAACTATATGTAAAATGATTTACTAATGTAAAAAAGTTGCAAATATCAAATATTTATCATTTCTATGGATTTTATAACTGAACACTTTAAGAAATCTCCACTTTCCGACTGCTGGCGCTCATTTTCTCACCGTCTTCGTCGCCCTCTCCTCTCTCTCGCTCGCATTTTTCCTCTTCCTCATTCCCACTCGTCTCCCTCCACCCGCATGTGGTCTGCTGTGTGTCTGAGTCTGATCCTCCCTCTTCCCCGCCCCTACTGCTCTGTGTGTGGACAGTCTGGACACGCAGTCACACATGTTGACCAATCGCATGTAGCTTTCACCAAAGCAAGAGGGGAGGGGGGAGGGGGGAGGGGAGGGGACGGCTCCCAAGGACGAGCCGGCTCCCGTCGTTCACTTCAAAGAGCCGGCTCTTAGAGCCGGTTCGTTTGCGACCGACACATCACTAGTTCACAAATAAAACGTCTTTTATTGAACAAGTTCGACCAAAAAAAGAAAAAGAAAAAGAAAAGAAAACTGCTTGAAAAATGTTTTGTTTTTCCTCTAAATGCCTCAATTTTAAAGTGTTTGGCCAATGCAAATAGCATTACTTGTAATTCATAAACCCTGTTGTCTCATTTAAGCTAAAAGGGCCCATTTCTCTTGTAATATCTTTCATCATTAAGACAATAAGGACATTTTAAGAATTTGTTTCTCATTCATCTTCATGTTTAAATGGAAATTATGACCTTAAAGACTTCGCTACATGGAAGTGTGCTAAATTATCCCCCGAAAAACATCATTAGTCACGCTAATGTCTATTTTAAAGCAGCATAAATGGTTATTCTGGAGTTCACGACCCACACAAACATTTCTTAAAGCATCACATTTGATCTCTTTGCCGGTGGGTTTTCATCTGAAACAGGAAATAGATTTCATGTTTCGCCATCGGCCTCAGGTTGCTGTTACTCAGTCTGAAAATGTTTAATGTGCAAATGTTAGCTGCAGCTCATGCGTTACTGCCCATTAGCGATGCACGCTATTTTCAGGGCATGCAGGCTGAGTTAGATAAGACTTCTGATGAGTAGGACTGCTGGTCCAAAGAGCCGTATAGCTCAGTAGGTGAGAGGACCGATCCATGATCAGTGTTCTTCTTCATGAAACTTGTAATCCATTGATTTTATTTTTTGTCCTGATGCACATTTGTTTCTGATTTATTGTCACAGATTTTAAATGAATGCAAAAATAAATTGTTTTATCAGGTTTCCTAAAATTTTCCAAAGCACACACATTGAAAGAAATATGCAAAAACAGGGTTTCATGTAAAGTGAAGATTTTAAAGCAATTTCTCATTTGACTTTGAACAGAAATTTTGAATTTTTTTGTTTGTTTTATACTAAAATGTGCATCATGATGAACATAAATATAAGTGAAGAGCAGGTTTACTCAGAAACCATTTTTCACGTATTATTTTGAAGATGGTTGGTCACTCTGAACATGAAATAGTCTTCTACACCTATCTCCTGCATTAGCTTCTGATAGAAAATAAACGGTTCACCTTGTCACTTAACATTCATGGACTCACCCATCTTGACTCAAGAAGGGGAAGCTTGTGGTTTAGCGTTCATGAAACAATAGAGAACGTTGTGGCTAGTAGAAGTTGACTGTAAGCATTAGCAAATCCACCACACAGCAGAACTCCTCCAGTCTTGTGTTATTTGTGGAGATAAAACATCAGTGTTGTAGAACAAACTGTTGATTCGCGTTGCTGTCAGCCAATCAAAGGCGAAATGTCAGAATATCAGGAAATAAAAGGCCAAATCCGGCTGTCTGATGCCATTTTCTCCTCCAGCTGACTTCTATGTCCTCAAACAGGCGCACCCGAGCTTTTTCCCCCCAGAGAACTTATTACAAGGCATTCATTCCTGTATTAAAATATGAGTAAAGTTGACCTATTAAAGAAGATGTCATAAAGTTACCTGGACATTATCTTTTGTTCTTCAGATGCTTTTCCAGCACAGCAAAAACGTTGTCCTGTAGGGGTGGGAAAGTCATTTGCAGGAGACAAGATACGTCTGGTCATAACAGAAATCATCCTAAGCTCCATGCTCATCTGCTGACTTAAACTTTGTGTTTCTAAATTGACCATTTTTGTTGTGTTTGTTCAGTTGGAAATGTCTAAATTCAGTTATTTAGTCTTCAGGTTAAGACAGTCCAGGTTGTATAAATACAAGAAAGCTTTGGGAACCCTGCTTTTCACTCTTTCTGAGGATCAGGGACTTGTCCCAGCTGGTGTTATTGTTCAGTAGACCCCCGGGACAGAGAGACACAGACAGACAGACACCCACTTGTACGTCTTACTGTCAGGCGACTCTCGTAACCACTACACCATCACGCAACTCCAGTCAGAGAATGATGAAACACTCATACAACTCAATGGCGTTACTTTCTCATAAAATGTGATCACTCGTAGTCTCTATACACTCCAGCCGACCTTCTACTTTTGATTAGTTAAGCTCAGGGGACTTCATGCAAGGCCTGGTCTAGTTTCAGTTGAACTAGCATGTTTTTTTTTCTTCTTTCTTTGAGCTGAACCAAGAAAAACCTTGTAGATCCAAATTCTGAACCGCAACTGTAAAGTCACGTTGCCTTTAGTGTTAAAGAAACACTTTTGAAGTGTGCTTTTCTACAAATTAATAAACGATTAATATCTTGTCAAATGCAGCTAGCTTCATTTTGGAGAGATAGAGTTTAAGTTAAATGAGAGTGATAGGCTAATGGCTAGTCAGAGTAAAGTGAGTAAAGAAGGGGATTGGAACAGCTCCGATTGACTAAATATCACAATAGCTCACGCAAACGTTATTTTATGAACCAAATGGTTATTTCTGCAAAAGAACGAGTACATTCCTGCTGGACTTCTGGATTCACTGGAAATTATACACTTTGTTGTTTATTTCTGTTTATTTTAAATTCGCTGCAGTTTAAAATATTATTTGTACGGACTGCTTTGAAATTTTAAGCAATTGGGGCCGTTAGAGAAGACAATTTTTACACTTTAATCTTGCCTGATTCTAACTAGTCATTAGCTCACACATCCTGTAAAATATGAACTCTATTTCTCCAAACAGAGGCCGCTCCCCAACAGCACTTTTACATAGAAACACCCTAAAAACATGGCTGAAAAGCCATTCTCTCTTCTAAAATATCTCTGTTTGTTCGTAGAGGCAAGAACTCGCAACTTCACAACTCGAGAGTGGTTAGCACTGGTGGGAGTCCCAGTTGTTCTCGTGACCATCGCTACTGCTCTCCTAGGTAGGTGATAATCTGGTTGCCTTTACATTAAACATATGTGAATAATTAGGAAAGCACAATAGCAACTTGTTTTTAGCATAATTTTAATGTGACGTGCACAATGCAAAATGAATCAAATGACGTGTAGCTGAAATAATGAAAAGCACTTCCTGCTGCATCTTAGCATCCTAGGATTATGTTATAAATGTAAACAACTGATGTGTCAGCAGTGTAATCTGGCAGCAAGCTCTTTAATCCTTCATGTGATGAAGTGATTAGCTTTATATTCACCAGACAACTGTGCAAAGGGACATTGTTTTGATTCATCTGTCTCATGTTCTGAAAAGGGATCATTAAAGGTACGATTTTAGCCACCATGAAGTCAAAACCTTCAATTTACTGAGAATTTTTGGGGGGATTTTATTATTTTTATTTTATCAAAACAAGAATTTAGAAAAGAAACTGCTAATCCAGATCAGGACTGCAGCACATAATCCAACATTAATATTTTGAGTTACACATCAGGGAGTCTGAATATTTATTTCTGAAGCACACTGAGAATTTCTCACTGCGTGTGACAGACTTTATGTCTTCCACTGGGCTCCCTCGCTCTGAATATCTGTAAATGCATTTATTTACTGTCATCAGAAGTTATATACAATGTCATCTCACTGCTTTTCTTGTCTCTTCATATTAGTCAAGTTCCTGGTGTTTCCGTCTAATTTAGACGTGTCCTCTACCCTCAATCCGGTTGGGACTGATGGCTTCCTAAGTCAACTGCCGTATCTGTTTAAGTTTCCCGGGAACCAGACAGGAAACATCACTACCGGTAAAGAAAGCAAAATAAAGGTTATATTCAAATTCTTTTTTTTTTTTTTACCGTGTCCTGTCTGGCTGTGAAGCAAACAGAATTGATGTCTGAATGCTGGTAACAAGCCTTACAGATTTACTCTCAGGTGGAGCATCAAAGCGTCTGCTTTTAATGTCACGCCTGATACTAAAAACTTTATTGTTATTGTTTTTGAATGCTTTGTAATCCTGACCAAACACTGAGTCAGAGGTGAAAGAGAAAGGAAAAGACAAAAAGTGGAGAGGGGGGGGGGGGGGGGTCCACAAAAATAAACAATAATGAACAAGAGTCTGCTTCTAGACCTACAGAAAAAGACAAGAAAAAAACTAAAGAACCAAAAAAATGGGACACAACAACAATACAACAAGATCAAGCTATCACTGCGTCAACTTGATGAAGAAATATATAATCAACATTGTTTAACTGAACAATCACACGATAATAAATCACAGTGCATTAAGTGCCCACCATAGTCTTAAGACCTGTGTTTAACGTGCCCAAGTCCATACTTATGAGAGCACCATGTGAGCACCCGTGTGTGTACACTCGCTTGTTTATGTAAGGTTCCTCTATAGGAGCGTCCAATAGAGAGTGTGAGGGACCACAGATCTGCCCCCAAAGATGCGTAGGAGACGGGGGGAGCTCCAAGTCCTAGAGATCCAGGCGCTGCCCCAGAACACAGGAACCCCAAGGAGACTGCAACCAGAAAGGCCCCCGCCCCCCTCGAGAGGCACAGAGGATCGCCCCGGGGGGCCACAACCAGCAGCCGGCAGAGTGCCGGGAGATATCAGCGGCAAGCCCACAGGCCCGCCCGCAGCCTCACAACCCCTAGCCGGCCAAGCCCGGGACCCAGCGACCCAGGGGCGACCACCCCCGCCGGGGACCCAGCAAAGCCCAGGGACCCAGACCCCACCAGGCAGCCACCGGGATTGGTCAGGCAGGCGCCAAAAATCTTAAACCCCCTGACCCGGGAGCCACGAACACTCAGGCAGACCAAGGCACCACATCCCACACCAGGTGTGGCAAGGGGAGATGAAGATCTATATGATCAAAGGAAGTCCCAGGAGAGGGGAGGAGTCAAAGGCCCCACCTGACATATACAGTCATACACAAACACAGTCACACACTCCCTCCCTCATGCTCACACATGCACATACAACCAAAGACTTACAAAAATGCACGCCGGACACCCACTCATGCTCCCCATACATACCCTATTCACTCTGGTCCTGGTACTGCTGCACATTGGGTACAACCATTAACGGTTACCAGAGTTTGACCCTTTCTGCTGGGGTGCTGATGAGCAGGCTCCCCCGCCCAACGCTGAGCACAGCAACCCACCACCCCAGACCCCAACCAGACGGCCAGATCTCCCTCCTAGGCTTCAGCCCCAGGAAGCCAAGCAACAACAGAGGTGTGCTAAGACCCCTAGTCTTCCTCCGCCTGCTCCAATATAGGGTTGTGTGTTCATGAGGTGTATTCCATGGCTGTGGTGAGCGGGCAGTGCGGGCATTGTCTGGCCTATGCCAGCTGATGCCACCGCACCACCCCACTTGGTGGGGGGGTGGCGGGTCTGAGTTTGTAGTATCCAGATGTTCCCTGGAGGTGGGTTCACTGGGGGTGTCTGGGACTGGGGGGGCGTTGCCCCCCTCTGGAGGTGCTTGGGTTGCCTCGGGGGGTGGACTGTTGGCAGTTGTGAGTGGAGCCCCTTGGAGGTCTTGGCAGCGACCATGGGCCACTGCCTGGCAGCTGCATTGCCCCTGGGCGGGTCTGGGTGGGGGCCTGGGGGCTCGGGGTTTGGGGGTGGCTGGCCCCAAGGGGGGATCTGGGCGGGGCCTTGGGGGTCGGGTCCTGACATGTATGCTGCTGGGAAAAAGGCAGGAACATGCAGCAGTGCCTGGCCCGGGTTCGGGGGCCTTGGGTAGACCTTGGCTCCTCTGCTGTCCCATCACAGGGGGGGGGGGGGGGGGGGGGGGTCCAGGAGGGGAGGACCCAACCTTACCTGGATGTCCTATGTCTTATATATTCTGGAAGTTGTGCAAATGCAGGGATGGGCATAGATATTCTGCTGGGGTGGGGCTGGATTGGTGCCCTCGGACTCCGTGAGGCACTGTAATGCTGCTACTTTGGGCCCTGGCAGGATGGGCTGGGGTATCCATGCCCTGGGTGGCAATTTAACAACAGAGGTGCCTATTGGGGCCAGTAGGGGAGCTGGCTCCCTTGAGGGCTAAGCCCAACCAGCCATTTCTCCCCATCCCCGCATATTTCTCTCCTCCTGCTCCCTCACATCATCACACAAACCTTGGGGGGTGGACAAGTCAGGGAGTGCGGGTATGGACCCCATTTCCGCATTCCTGTGGCAACCTGCCCCCCAATTTTATTTGCACCTTATACACTTCCACTGACGACATTCCACGCAAAAACACACTTAGGGCCTTGGGAG